GTACTATATAACATTTTAGACACATTCTGGACAGTTTATCAGCTAAAAAAAGTTAATTTTGGGGTAGTCCAGTCTGCTCTGTCCTTTCTTGTAGACTGCTTCACTGTTGAGTCTCCAGTCTGCTGTCCAGATGAACACCAGGGTATTTATATTCCTCAACCACCTCCACTTCTTCTCCCATAATGGAAACAGGGTTTGATCTGAAATCTACAATCATCTCTTTTGTTGACATTCAAGGTGAGATGATTGTTCCCACACCATGTCACAAAGTGGTCCACCAGCTCTCTGCAGTTGTTGGGTGTATCAGAGATGGACAGGAAGCTGAGGACAGTCATCTGAGTATTTCTGTAGATGACAGCAGTCTGACTTGTGCTGAAGTCTGAAGTGTACAGTGTGAACAGGAATGGTGAGAGTACAGTTCCCTGTGGTGCTCCTGTGCTGCTGACCACCTGGTTAGACACACAGTCCTTCAGTCTCRYAAVCKGTGGTCTGTTTGTCAGGTAGTCTTTGATCCAGGTGATTGATCCTGAGTCTTCTGGAGTTTCAGACAAAGCAACTCAGGCTGAATTGTGTTAGGTCCTATTCACACCTGATAGTCCGGTAGACTTGGTTCGACTGGGGACCAAAACTGCAAGCTTTGTTCACATTTTCTGGTGGTGCGGTTCGAATTCACACTGCACTCTCTCACTCGAACTAAACCCTGGAAACATGCTGTTCCCGCCCTCACCTGTGGGGGAGCAGCACAAAGAACCACTGAAGGAATCAACACGAAAACCTCAGAAGAAGACATGGAGCGCAACTTCCTTCTTCCAAAATGTAAACAAACAATAGTAACGTTATATTTTAGTGGTTATAGGGTTTATTTTTAGTTGTTGGCAAATGTGCTAAACAAATAGTCTTCAACAATGAGCTCAGCATGAGAGGAAGATGAGGCTGAACCACGGAGAATGTTGTTTTTACACAAGGCGGCTGAGGAAGCTCCGTGTTAATCCAGTAGGAGCGCATCCAGCTCCACAGTCATGATGTCCACCTTATACAGTCGTCCAGCGAGGTATTTACACCATATAAGTACATTTAWTACTGTTATTACTCAGAATGTCCTGCATTATAGTCCGTTTCCTGCTTTTGGAGCTGTCTCTGGTCCGCTTAGTGTTCACACATGAAATCAAACTGCACCAGAGTTCGTTTAAATCTAACAGAGACCTAGGTTTTCAGGTGGACCAGAGTTCGATCATTTGGTCCGAATCAGAGTTCGATTACGCGTTCACACCTCCACAAACAAACTGGACTTTCCTGGCAAACGAACTAGAGTTCGATTAAATCGGACTAAACAGTGCAGGTGTGAACACGACCTTAAAAGCAGTGGAGAAATCAAAGAACATGATGCTCACAGTGCTGCCTGCTTTGTCCAGATGACAGTGGGTTTGTTGAAGCAGGTGGATGATAACGTCTTCAACTCCAACTCCACGACAATTCGCAAACTGCAGGGGGTCCTGATGTGTGCTTGTTTGCTTACTCAGGTGGGCCAGCAGCAGTCTCTCTAGGATCTCTGTTCTCTCTAGAACATGTGATCCACAAAGCTGTACAACAACTATAACATTGTGGGCCCTGCCATGTGGACCCATGTATCAGACTTAATACAACACCCCGTGTCACACTGCGTCACAACATCAACTGGACTGCAGGTTCACCACTTCATCCATAGGCTGCTTTAACACTATAGAGTACAGTGTACACAACACAGGGCTGCATTTCAAGTCCTTTTATATTCAGTAAAGAACCTCAGTTCTGCATTACCACATCTGACCAATGTGTGTGTGCTTACCTGCATTTATTCTCATTTACCTGCATGATATTATTTCATACAACCATAATAATAATGTAGTGAACATAGGCTTTGAAACCTTGGGGCAACATCAGGTCTCACCCAGAAAAATATATATATTTTTACTATACTATAAAAAAGAAAGTTTGTAGTTTGTCTACAAAACATAAATCAAACATTAATTAATGAATTCCTTGTTGCACTTTGAGTAGGGATGGCGTGATTCAATCGTCTATCGGTGATTGAAGGGTTGGAATGCAATTTTCTTTTTTAAGGGCGATCTTTTTAAATTAATTAAATGCTGTGCCAGGGATGTAAAATAAATTTTATATGTACCCTTCTCTGTAAATTAAAAAGTTTTAATCATCATCATTGTGCTCTGTGCAAATCAGGGAATAAAATAACAGTACTGCGTCTCTGTTTTTTTTCTTGGAGTCGGAGCCAACGTGCGCAGCTCCTCTTCACGTCTCTCTTCTCGTCATTTTCTTGCTTTGGTGCGCCACAAATGACTCAAATAGTGATATATTATAAAGTTTAGTTACAAAACTAATAATCCATGACAATCATACATTTGAACAAATAACTTTAACCAGTTACGAACTGGACCGGAGAGCACTCCCTCACCCCTGCTCATCCCTGTCACTCTGTGCACAGGTCGAACTTTTCACCCCCCTCCACATAAGAACACTTACGATTTATATGGTGTGATTGGTCTGAAGTTTGTGGGAGTGTTTGTTTGTGCTAAAAGCGCTCAGATGCAATCACTCACTTAAAAAAAAGAGAGAAAAAAGTGAGTTGTTTGAATGCCGACTACCAGGAAGCAGCGATCATAAAGATGGTCAAACGGCCACAACCTCATAAAAGGGATAAAACAGACGATTTTCACAGTGAAATCTGACTGATAAAAACTTTTGAGCTTAATCCTGGACCAGTGTGTGGATAAACAACATCGAGTGACGAGTGTCTGACTTTTTTTCCCACATTGGATTCCCTCAGGGTAGAAATCCCCTGTAGTGACGTATACAGCAGCGGGGAGGGGGGTTTCCCAGGAGCTCGGCGCGGGGGTCTCAGGAACTATGAAAGGTATGTGTGAACACCAACGCTGAATAACCTCGGAATTTACAAGTGACTTTAGAAAAAAGAAGCCATCGCTTATAATATGTGGACCTGTTTGCTTTTTTTTCTTTTTTTTAACAATGTAACTGCGCATGTCTTATCAGCTGATTGGATCGTCTATCAGTGATAGCCAGTGACCATGATCTTATGATCTGAAAATAGGGACAATTTCCCATCCCTAACGTTTAACGACAAACCAGCAGCGTGAAAACATGAGTATATACTGTAACAGACAATGACTTACCTACGCAGAGTTCTGTTAGTCGCCAGCAAGCTTCCCAGAACCTCCGCCCCCACTGACCTGAGATTATTTCCCTGTGAACAATAATGACAGATAATAAGACAAACTTCTGTCTGTTCAGTCTGTAAAGTGCATCATTTTAGTGTTGGTACCTTTAGATCCAGAACCTTTACAGTTGTGTTTTCAAACAGTCCAGTCAGGAGGATTTTGGCACCTAAAATCCACACGAACAAAAACAGACACCGTTGTGACGTCAAACTTTTATTCCAGTTTTGTGAATTAAGTTTATAATTTTTTATTAACTTCCTCTTATACTAAACGTGAGATCCAGAAGTTTGTTTCAGTCTATATGATGATGTGAAAGTACAACCGGACCTAGAAAGGGTAAGAAAAGTTCTGGAGGCTGTTAGATTTAGGTCATGGTCAGGTTATTTATTTATTTTTTGGTGGGGGGGGGGGGGTGTGGGCAGCTGTGGCAGAGTGGTTAGCAAAGTCGTCCTGGAACCGTAAGGACACCGGCTCGATCCCCCGTCCAGCCCTTTCAGTTGTTGTGTCCTTGGGGAAGACACTTCACCCACCTTGCCTGCTGATGGTGGCACTGGTGCATGGCAGCCCCACCTCTGTCAGCGTGCCCCAGGGCAGCTGTAGCTTGCCTCCATCAGTGAGTGAACGTGTGTGTGAATGGGTGAAGGTTTGAAGTGTAAAGCACCTTGGGGTCCAAATGGACTTAATAAGTGGGGTGTAACGATACATCGATCTATATCGATATATTGATTTGAATGGTTCATGATTCAGTTATATTGAGGCAAAATGAAAATATTGATCTATATCGTAATCGTATGATCAATGTGAATTGATTTCACATGCCCATCTAACACAGTCATTGTGTTAGATGGGCATGTGATATCAATTCACATCGAGCACATCATATTGCATTACATTGATCACAGACTTGTGAATTGAATTGAATCAAAACTGTATCATGACAGACTTTGTGATATTGAGAAATATCGAATCGTTGTCCAAACAATCGATATAATATTGTATCGTGATAAAGCTAGTGATTTGCACCCCTACTGATAAGGCGCTATAAGTTCAAGCCATTTACTTTTTTTAAAACTTTTATTGAAGGCCAGTAAACAAGTAGCCTGGTTAAAATCAGACCCTGTCCTTCACTTTGCTTCATACGAGGGTCTGGACTTGATCCTACAGAGGAGCGATCCTTGCAGGAGGCGTGGCCTCTGCTGAAGCATGTGTGTGTTGTCGCTGTGAAGGAGGCTAAGCTAAGACGCTAACTGGAAATCTTGTGCGCTGTAAACAACCCTACTGAGAGGAGAAATATACCGAGCTGAACGAGACGACTGTAAATGAGAGCTGCTGCTTTGTCAGACTAATTTATTTTAATTTGAAGCCTTATCAACACAGACTGGCTTCATTCACTTCCTCCACTGCTGTATGCTAAAATAACTAGCAGACACTGAGCAGAACATCAACGTCATTCAAAACTCCTCCTTCTGTTCTCTGATTGGTCCAGGTAAAATAAACTACAAACAGACACTGCACAGAAAATCTATGTTCTGTTCTCTGATTGGTCCGGCTAAAAATCTGCCAGTGAAATCCTTGTCTATGGGAGAAATCCCAGACGGAGAAGGAAACTAGAACTGAGCGGAGCTGTAGGAAGGCAAGGACCAGGATAATAAACAAGCAGTGGACATAAATAAGAACAAAAATAAAACAACAAAATAACATAAAACACATAAATAAGAACATACGGTCACATGGTTTCCGTGCACACCAGTAGTTGTATTTACCTGAGCGGGGCCATCATAATGCTCATGTGGCCCTCAGTGAAAAGGAGTTTGACACTCTGGTGTAGAACCTCTGAAGGTTAAAAATATTAATTCAGCTGGGAAGTTTAAAGTCATGATGACAATCAAAGTAACTGCAACCTTTTTTGATTTTATTTTTTAGTTTTTTTTTTGTTTATGTGTGTCATCGGAGATAAAAATAACATAATACATAAAACTCATCACTCACTACCAAACAACCACTGAATAATTTCAAGTCATTTGTTTACATATGAACAGTAACAAGGACACCTCAGGAAGTCTGTAATTTAGTTGTAAACAGAGGGAAGGAATATTTGCTGTTTCTAATGCAATTTTTATAAAACCACTGATGAGTTGGATTTACTTTAACCCCCAAACAATCTTTTTTTTTTTTACTTTTTTTTGTTCCTCTATCGGAGGAGTAATACACTTTTTCCCTCTCTCTCTCTCCTTCCCTCCCTTATCTTTCTCTGCTCGGAGCCTCCTCTACTTTTTCATTCGAAACCAGAAATTATGGATTTATTTTTATGGATTTGGTTAGCTGGTCTCTTAATAAATCTTTGGAACAAAGTTTTCTTCCATGGGAGGACATGTCAAAGGTGGGACCTCTGTTCTGGATATATATCTGGACTCTGATCACTGGATTCTACAGATTGGCTTGGTGGTCTCCTGGTGGTCTACAAAACAGTGTTGGTGGTTATTCAGGCCATTTCCTGGCTGCCTGACCAATATGAAGGATTGCCGTGCTATCAGCACTCAGACTCACACTGTGTGCAAGCTGGACTTGGTCTGCACGTAGTTCTGCTGAGGGTCATGGGCCAGCTGTGGTCCCTGGACTTTACTGGTGAGATAGAATTGATCTTGGAGAAGGTGAGAGCTCGGCTTGGTGGGATTGTCCACATTATTTGTCTGATTGGATTCACCACAATGAGATGTACCAGAGGACATTAAGGCAGATGGATAATTGTGATTGGCTGCCTGACCGAAAACATTTTCTTCTGTTCCCAAACAACTGATTACAGATTTGGCTCTCCCCTACATGGCCTTACAGAGCTGTGGATCTAATTTCTCCTGGTGTTTACGTCGACTTGGCTTGGTCCCCACCTCTCCCCTCTCACTCCCGTCTGTAATCTGATCTCTGAAGGTCAATCTGGAGCTGCACAGAATGAACAGTTAACACCAGAATTCTGAACTTTGGCTGAACTATGGATTTTTTGGGGGAACTCGATTCTTCGGACTCATTCTTCAGATATTCACACAAGTGCATACAACATTCATGGCTTCAGATACACGCCCTCTAAACTCACTTACCCCTCTGGCTAACAAATGTGCTGTGCAGAGGGTTTTTATAAGCACCATAGAGTGTCACATTTGGTTGATATAATATGATGGTTTTTTTCCTCAGCTAACCTCCTGTGGTATTTTTGTTTTTGTTTTTAAAGTTAGTGTGACCCCTGCTGGTTGCATGACCTGATCACCTGATCCTCCCATGTTTTAGTCACATGTGTCTTCTTGAATGGGTGTTCTTAAATGTAATTCCATTGTGCTCCATACAATGACAATAAAGGCATCAATCAATCAATCAATCAACATGTGACCACTCTGTCAGTGATCTCAGTGTAAACTCAAAAACTCACGTACTTTCCTCACTGAGCATGCAGTCACTGAGCAACAGCTCTGTGAAGACAGTGTCCTGCTGTAAAGCGCTGGCCAGAGCAGAGCAGGTATCTGGAGACAGACTCAGTCCTCTCAGGTCCAGTCTGGAGCTGTGAGCTGTCCTGCTCTCCTGAAGCTGGACCACCACGCTCTCCTGAGGCTTCACACCTCCATCTTTACACAGTCGCAGGTACGTCTGCCTGAAATTCTCCATCTTGAGTCACCCGATGAGCTTCCTCGTAACTAAAAAATGCAATAAATGAAAAATAAAAATGTAAAATAATTTAAACATTTTTTATCATTAATTTGTTCATTTCAAAGCAAAAAGTTAAATATTTTGGTGAACTGGTTCCAGTCTAGAAAGATTTGCAGTATTTCTGTGTTGTGTGTGTCTGTTTTTCAGCCAGTTTCAAGTGAAATAATTATGAATATTGTAAGTAATTTCTTTAAATTACCTGACTGGACCCACTAACAAACAAGATTCTGACAAATTAAAATAAGTCCAATACTCAAACGCTACAGCAGTTCACTGGGAAACACTATAACAAGACTGACTTTCCATCATGACATCATGTCAGTCAGGGCTCCGCCCACAACACATTATCACTGTCTGTTTATTTTGTGTTGTTTAGAATGGGTGGGCGATACTATGAATTTTGTTATTGATCCGATAAATGCAGGGCTAGTATCGCCAGTTCTGTTACTTGTCATGAATATTTTGTGATTTTGCCTTTAGTTAATTATGATTAAAAACACGGAACAAATATTTTTGACAAATTGAAATGTTTTGTAATAACTGACTACAATAACTACAATAGCTAGATACTATCCTAGCATCTGACGTGCGTCCAATGTGTCTAAAGTAGCTGGAGGTGGAGCATCGACCTGTCAGAGAGACTCTGTCATGTGACTCTCTCAATTTCATCCATCCTTGACAGACCAGCAGAGAAAAACAAGCAGGAGGTTCCTACCAATGCACATCTTTCCACACTTTGCTCAGACGAGCGTCTGTAGTGATTTCGATGGTCGATATCATGAGTGATTTTAAAGCGCACAAGCATCCAGCTTGAGGTGGTGGACGCCTTTTTGATGTGCAAAACTTTCTGTCAGAATGCAGCATAGCTCCAAACAATTCAGAGACTGCATTACCAACTTTAGTTTTCTTTTTATTTGTGAAAAGTAATGTAATTAGTGCAAAAAATGTAAATCTCATTATGCTAATAATGCTACAATCCGATACTCATCTTGGTATTGATACTTGGATCGATACGTCCAACACTATTTTTTTGTATTTTATTGGTAAACAAGATCACCATGTTTACAAAAAATGCATTGATTGTATATAAAGAGCTAACTACAACAGGTAAGATATTGACTGTTCATAACATGCATAGAGAATCCCGCTCCAAAGGATCAGAACTATCCATTTAAAACTTGTTTTTTCTGTCAGTAAAATACTCTTCAGATAACTTATAAGTGCAGTATATAAATGTTCAGAAAGCTGATATTTGGATCACATATACAGAATCTACGGAACCACTTTTTGAATATTAGGAGACTTCTTCTCTTAAAGTTAAACCATTAAATTAATAAAACTAATTATGCTGTGAGCGTTAGGCTAATATTTATGACCATTTCAAAAGAAAAACATTTGAGTTTTTAACAAACACGTAGTTCGGCGGCGATTTCATTCAATTATTCAGCTGCTGTTTTAAAGCACAAACACCATATCAGACAAACATGAAACAAAACAACAAACTAAACAAACAAAATAAACTGACCGGGAAACCAGGCGACCGAGAAACCAGGAAGTGAAGTTTGGGCGCAAAGCATCATGGTCAACGTAGTTAAATATGTTTAACTAAGCTTCCTCAGCGAATTAAAGCTGCTTATAACAAAGAGAGGAAAAACACTTGTTTGTTTTTAAAGTCAAATTTAGGATTTGATAAACTGATGATTGATAAACTGATAAACTGATGATTGACTGAATGTGGGAGGGGTTTGATCCTTGGACCTGCCAGCAGGTGGCGGCAGAGCTGCGGTTCTGTTCTGGACCTGCCAGCAGGTGGCGGCAGAGCTGCGGCAGAGCTGTGGTTCTGTTCTGGACCTGCCAGCAGGTGGCGGCAGAGCTGTGGTTCTGTTCTGGACCTGCCAGCAGGTGGCGGCAGAGCTGT